CATGAGAAGGCAGCAAGCATGCAGGTCACTAAACTCCATGTACAGGTGTTCCAGCCACCTCACTACAGCTAGGAAAGACTGCATGAAGGAGTTAAGGAACATCAGTGACATTTCTTATCACCTGATTTGTTCACGATAGCATCTTAGATGCCAAAACAATTACAGTGTTTCTATACTGACCTAGATGGCTAGACTTCGGTTCCTATAAAATAACTAGCTGACAGCCTGGCTGAATAGTCTAAGCTGAAGAACTCAAGGTTCATTGGAGAGGATTGGGGACCTCAATATACAGACTATGAGAATAAATGCTCAAAGAATGAAACACTTAAGGACGAGAAGTCGATCTCCAACAAGGAAAAAAAAAACCCAAAAAATACTTCTCAATGCTGTCCCTCTTATGAGGTCTCTGTTCCATTTGAGCAACTAGTTTCATTATACTTTTCAACAGATTAAGTTTTTATTTACTATTTGGTTTAAGTTTCAGACCAGAATTCTTTACCAAAGCTGAATTACCAAAAGCAGGATATATCACTGTCACATTTTTCCTTGTGTCAGTTTCAATTTGAATGGATTTTCAAGTCTGATTTGCTTTGCTGCATGTGCTCTTGACAGGAGTATTTGGTATGGCTCTATGCTTTCCTGACACGTATTAGCCAATGACCTCAATATTTAAAATGAGGCTTGTGTACCTTTGCCATAGCCACTAAGAAATGAGTTAAGAATTCCCTGCCCCATCACATCAGATCAGCCACCTTTTTACCCAGATTGAAAAGTAGGCTAAAGACATTCACATTTTTCCAGTCCTTACAGAAGAGCTAAATAAACTTTGAAAACTATTGCTATTTTTACAATGTCTTGGTAAGCTTGCTCTGAAAAGGTACACTTAGAAAGTATCATTTTGTATTATAGTCCTTGCCAGAAAAAATTATCTGATACACCAGGACCTAGCACTTGGTGAAGTGCAAGAATGCATCTAGCTCATGACAAATAATATTTTGCCTCCTCCCTGCCCCACCCCCCAACACACACACACACACACACACATTCAGTTTTTAAAGGAAAACCAAACTGACCCCTGTCAGATCAGAGAGAAACAATTTCCAGTAACTGGATTAAGAGGAACTAAACTTGTTTAGAAACATTATTATGAATTAGTAGCCTAGTTAATCACTTACATACAGATTGGAATGATATTCAAAGGATTATTAATTATCAAATAATATAGATCATAGCAGTCAACAGGTTTGCATCAAGATTTTCAAGCTATAATATCTGATTTTCAGAAGTGCATTGTTAGGTATTTAAGATTATTAATTATCAAATAATATAGATCATGGCAGTCAACAGATTTGCATCAAGATTTCCAAGCTACAATACCTGATTTTCAGAAGTGCATTGTTAGGTATTTATGGGGCACTTCCCATTCTTGACTGTGCTTTCATGTGTAACTTCTGACCTTTCCCATCCCTTCAAATGAAGCTTTTCAAGCTTTTTTTGCTGCTTTTTCCTGCAAGAAGGACCCAAGCTGCAACACACTGATATAAAAATGTATTGACTGACTTGTAGAGAAAAGCATTTGTTCACCTTTTTCCTTACTTTTCACGCTAGCTGGTTTACCCTGAACAAGACACAGCAAAGAGTGGAAGCATAAAGTAGTCACCTCCCTTTAAGACAACTGTAGCTTTACAAGCAGTGAGACCTTCTGCACATCACTGTATGCACCAGGGTACCTATGCACAATGAGAAACTGAAGGTCAGCATGTTAAGATGACCTTTGACATCTCTTTATACTGTGGGTTCATGTCAAACTCAATCACTAAAACTGCTTCATTTTTTAAATGGGATTTTGCATCTTTAGCAAATGGTGATAGAAAGACTGTCCTTCAAGATGGCATATCACATTAATGTATTCCAGCGGTGATAGACTATCTATCAAGATGGCATATCACATTAATGTATTCCAGAATCATAGCATTTATATTTACATTTGCTTAACTTTTTCACAACTCTATTTCAATATTTGGCCTTGCCCCAGCTCCTGACAGTTTCACATATTAATGCAAAAGCTTTGGCCAAGAAGTGACCTAACGTGAACAAATTCTTGTGATGTAAAACACTGTGGTGTTGAAGAACTAAGTTAACACAATGAACTCTCTTCCTTCTGTTGCAAACCTCAGCTTGTTAGCCTGCGGGCTCACAGGCTCTGCTGCTTTTTTTTGCAATCCCAATTCCTG